GGGGAGGGGGGGAGGGGCTGTGAGGGGAGGCAGATAACTCACAAGATGGCAAACTTGCGTGGCCTAACCAAAAAGACAGGCGTAAACATGAGGCCAATGCATGTAGCAAACATGGCCAAGGCAGCAAGGAGCAGGCCGCCAAAAACGAGCAATCGGTCCCACCGACTTACTGCGGGTATTGGTCAGCACTGAGGGACGTTGTTCAAAGACAGAGGAAAGAGTGCAAGCGTCGTGCATGCGAGATGGGTGACGCAGGAACTCCCTTCTGTCACATTGACGGTTGGCTGCGCGGCGACTTTGCCGGGTGCAGGAAGCAGGAGCAGGTGACAGGTCGACAGAGGGAAAAACTGGGAATCCCACTACTGGGCGGATGCTCATTTCAACATTGCCATGTGCCGTGAAAAAATGTGGATGCGGAGACAAAGAAGCAAGGCTGTGCATGTGAAACTAGCCCGGAAGCATCGTCGGCTGATGACACCACGAGCCATGGACCAGTTGGTGGTATCGGTGTTTGCAAGGGAAATATATAAGATCGAAGGACATCGCGCAATCGAAGTAGAGCAGGGGGATTACGAGGCGCGAAACGACGCGTAAGGAAGGTGGACGTGCTTTGCCACTGGCAGAGCAGAAGGGGGAAAGGAAGGGAGGAAGGAAGGAAGGAGCAACTTACGCGCAAACCAGCCCTCTTCTTCCTCTCTTCTCGTCGGGGCAGGCAGAGGGGCGCCGGGGTTTGTTTCGGTGGTAGGCAGTCGCACATAGCCTCCCTCGCCAAAGGGATTCAGGTTCTGTATTCTGTCGAGCAGCGAGGGCGGCGCGGTGCTCACGGGGGCCTGCGACTCACGCCTGGACCAGCCAAGCGAGTTCATGGATTCTCGGAAGGAAGCGGATGCCATTGTGGGAGAGGGTTGTAGCGGTGGAGGGCGGAGGAGCACGAGATGCTAGCGCCGTGTGGTTGAGCAGAAGAAACCTGCTGCTGGGGCGCGGCGGTCGCGAGCGTATATGGAGACTAGCAGAAATAGGCGTGGGCGCGGGGGACGCGACTTTGGATCTTGGGTACCAGCGAAGCTTTGGGAGAAGCCGCAACAGGCGACACCTAGAGAGGATCGGGCCTTGGGTAGGAAGATAGTAGGGATGCTAGGCAAGTGCCGTAGCCGTAGAGGGCGGGACTTTTGGCAGAGGTGGGTAGGAGGTGCTTGGCGCGGCGGGCGATGGGAGTCGGGGTTGCAAGTATGCGTGCAGTCGTGGGAGGATGCTCGAGTAGGAACAACTGCCCACGGACCGGAGGATTTCGTGCAGATGATGTCCGTGCGGTGTAAAGTATAGTAGAGTATAGTAGGAGTCGACCTGGGAGTAGGCGACGGAGACCCAATGGCAGGAGTCAGACAGGCGTCTCAGACACGGTGAAGGGTGGACGAGGCTTGTGACGAGGCGGCGAGGGCGAGGACGAGGGCGAGGGTGAGGGCGTCGAGTGTGGCCGGGGGGGGCGGAGGTGTGGCTGTGGCCGGGGTGATTGGCTGGGAAAGGGCAGGCGGTGGTTACAGCTACTAGAGCAGAGCAGATCGGTGATGGGAGATGGGAATGTAGTCTGCTCGCCGGCCAGGAAGGGAGTAGCGCCGCCTGTTGTTGCGAGCTGGTGCGAGTTTGTGCGAGGGCCAGCCTGCCATGCTTTGCACACTCTTGGACTTGCTGGGCCATTGCAGCGACTAGCGCGCGATCGCCTCCCGCTGCGACTCGCAATGCTGGGTGAACCACGCGGCCGAGTTGGGTTAGCGTGGTCCTTACACATGCCCACCCACACCCATACCCACACCACGCACGCACGCCCGCCCGCCCACACACACACACATGGCCGTTTGCACACACACCCACACCCACACCCATACACACACCCTCGGGCGCAGGGCTGCCTTGGAAAGTCGGGCAACAGGTAGATGACGTCCTTTGCGGGCCTGCTAGTGAGTCACATCGCGCATCGTCTACCAGGGCTGGCAGGACCGGGTAGCTGAGACACGACGGCTTGCAAGTGACCAGACGAGGCCACTTGCAAACCGGATGGTGTCCGCATCGCCAGGGTTGGACGGTGGGCTTGCGGCTTGCAGACTGCCTCGTCCTGATGCGACGCGCGACAGGCAGAGGCACGGCAAGCAGAGAGGCGCGTTGCTCGTTGCTGAGCCAGAGTATATTATGCCGCCGTGCCGCGTCCGTTGTTGGCCCAATAATTGTTGTCTGTCTCGCCCTCGCTGCAAATCGATGCATGCTACATAGTAGTTGTAGTAGTAGTAATCATCCGCGTCTTACATTACATTACATTACATACATACATACATACGTACATGTATATATATATATAGTATATATGTATATATATACGTACACACAACACACGCTACACTAGACACCGACAGCCATCCGATCCGCCCCTCTCGCAACACAAGACAACACACAGCATACAATACAGCGCGCGCAGTATCGTACCCTTCCGGCCCGGCCTTCCATCTCACAACGCCGCCTACGCCCTACGTCACCCGCTCGGTGCCGGGTTGCGCAAACCACTGCAGCGGCTGTCGCCATTGCTCTGCCTCTGCTTGCTGCTGCAACCACGCCCACTGGACGCCCGCTTGTCCTCGACCGCTGCCACACGGCATCGGCTAGTAGTTCGCTGCCACGGACTGATTCGCCGGCCGGCCATAGCTGCTTGGCGCGCCCCGGCTAACAAGTCGACCCTCTCTGACCGCCTTCCGGCCTAGGGCCTCCTCCCACACCGCGCCCTCGCTCCCTCGCTCCCTCGCTCGCTTGAGCTGCCTGCCCCGTCCGTCTCTCCTCTTCTCAGAGCCGCGGCAGCCATTGCATCGCTGTTGCACGCTGGGCCCGACCATCGCCCACAACCTGCACCGCGCCTAGCACGCTTCATCCACCGCTTGCTGCTGGGAACATCCTGCCACCGCCCTCCCCACCACTAACCCCCCCGGACCGCCTACTCCAGAGCCCACTCCTGCTATTTTACCCACACCCCTCCACCGCGTTGCACCAAAGCCCTCACTGCGCATCCCACCACGCACACAACCTCTCCTCCACTCCCACCACACACACTCTCCCCCTCGACGCCCATCCAAGCCTCACCCCGCTCTCACCCCCGTCGACAACAAACAGGCTCCCCTCGGCAATCATCACCGCCACTACTACATACCACCATCATCACCACCACCACTACCTTCAACCTCACTCTCCAACCGCCAAGTTTGCTCCCTCCTGCACACCCAGCTGATAGCCGGCTTTTATTCCAACTTGTCCCCTCGACCTCTCTTCACAACAGACAAGCCGAGTCTTCCAGCTGCCATCTCCCCATTGAGCATTGCTGGTATCCAAGGTGAGTCAACGCTGCTCGGTGCTCTTTCCTTGAACAAACACCACTACCACTACCACCACTTCACCACCACCATTACCACCACCATCACCACCTTCCCCATCCCCGTGCTGCGCTTCAGCCTGGGCCAGTCTCGGCTGCCTGGGCTGTAAACAAAAAAAACGCCCCAACACCACCCCCGGAGCAGTGACACTGTTTCGCTGCTTTGGTCCTCCCGTACCACGGTCCCCATAGTGCCGGCGTGCAGCACGGCTGTCGTCCTCCGTTGCCTGCCTCGCGGGTTACCCATCTGTGCGCCACACGCATGCACCCGACCCTTCAACCACCCAACACTTGCCCTGCTGGACTGTGCGCTGACATGTCTTTCTCAGTATCCAAATTGGGCCCACAACCACAATCACCTGTCGCAGCCCGCAATCTGGCTCCGAAGATAGGCCGTATCCTTGCTTTCCCCCACGCCCGCCCATAACCATCTCCGGAACATCCAACCCGTGGTATCCGTTGCCCGGACAAGTGAAGTGAGTACCTTCCGTGACAAATGACTCGTCCATGCCAAACATGGTGCTAATGTCCTTCCCACAGACAAACACTAGCTTCTCCCTCCCAACAAGACCAGAGGCTTGCTAGCGAGTATCAGGCGTCGCTCCAAAGACTCCCTTAGCTTGCTCGCGCCCTCTTTGTGCTCACCACATAGCAAGCGTCTGTCAACTCCCATATAGGGACACAGGCCGTCTTGTGCTTCCCTTGGTCACTGGCTTGAGCCGACGATAGATCGTTTCAGATCTCAACGTTCGGCACAAGCAACCGCCCTCGGCCACACACATCCACATTTCTGGGATACTGCAACCCACAGTAATGCCAAAGCCTAGTAAGTACGCCTTTTGGTAACGTCTGTTTTATCCTACATTGTCATGAGAGCACCATTCTGTTCCACTTGATCTGCATCTCTCGCTTTTCTATATCATTCCTTCTACTCGTCGTCGGCGGATTCTCCTCGCTCAGTACATTCTTTCCGTTCCGCCATTTCCATCATGTACTACGGAACCATACTAACTGTCCCTGAAGCGGACGCTCTCTTCACTCCTCCCTCTTCCTACTCTCCCCAGAAGCCGATTGCGAGGCTGGACCTTGGCTTCGAGTCCCCCTCTGACGACGTGCTAGACGCTGATATCTTCAACATGAATGGTACAGGATCACCTCAACCATATATCAAAGAAGAAGTCGACGACATGTCTTTCAACAGCCGGTTCATGGGCCACAATGGCCTGGATATGAATCAACAATACACAAACGCCCAGTTCTCCGGACACGAGAACGCCAGTGGCATCAACCCTTCCGAGCTCAACATGAACGGAAACATGATGGGCAACCACTTTGGCACTAACAGCTACATGCAGGGTGGTGCTGGTATTGCCGACGACGAGCTTGCCGAGTCGCTTGGCACCTTTGAGCAGCAGCCTGGCTTCAACAACTTTTCTCAGGACCAGATGAGTCAACAGCAGGACTACTACCACAGCCACGCCAACAATGCCAGCGTGAACCAGGTCTACTCCAACACCCCAGACGACCTACCCATTCACAGTCCTTTTGTACACCCCGGCAATTTTGACTTCAACCAGTACCAATCAGGATCGCAGATGAGGAGCTTTTCCGGCAGTATGCCAACTGGCTCCATGCGCCAGCGTATCACAATGAGCAGGACCACCTCCGACAACCGGGCTCCCATGTCGCCCAAGACGCCTGCTATGGCTGGCCTCCACCTTGGTACACCCGACTCGGGCAACTTCACCAACACCCAACCCATCATGACCAACATGCACCGACACCACAAGAGCATGTCTGGCCAGTGGGAGGGCACACCAGGAAGTGCCCACTCCTGGATCGACTCGCCTACGGCATCACCCCACACTGGCGGTCTGCACCACCAGCAGATCACTGACGTCTTACATTCGGGCAAGCACAACTCACTCCCCGCCAAAGTTGATATTGGTCAAAATGCCGACGCTAAGAAGCGCCGACGCCGTGAGTCCCACAATTTGGTGGAGCGTCGCCGCAGGGACAATATCAACGAGCGCATCCACGACTTGTCTCGTCTTGTACCTCAGCACCGTCTTGAGGATGAGAAGATCCGCAAGCACATCAACAACAATGGCCCACTCTCACCTACCATGGCCACTAGCGGTATGTCACCACCACAAGCCACATCACTTCTAGCTGGTGGAAGTGGAAGGCGAGCAGCCGGTAACATTACACAAGGTCTCCCAATCGAAGAAAAGGACAAGGGTCCTAACAAGGGTGACATTCTCAATGGTGCCGTTAGCTGGACACGTGATCTCATGTGGATGCTGTCCAAGAAGATTCAGGAATGCGATGAGCTGGCTGCACGACTCCAGCAAGCAACTGGTGAAGAGTGGACTGTCGAACAGTCCGAGGACGAGAAGCGCATGAAGACGGAAATTCTTGATGCGCTTGAGAAGAATGGCGCCGGTACTTTCAGGTACTCGCGCGGCCCCGGCTCAGGCCTGCGAGTACCCAAGCACACCAACCTGGCTGGTGAACCCCTCAACGGCGTCTCACCACAGAGCCTTAGCCCAGGCATGCAAAGCACTGGTAGCGGCTCCGGATCAAACCAACCGCAGTACTGGACTAGCCTGAAGGAGGAAGACGAGTACGGTATGGACATGGGCTGAAGCGAGGCCCTTTGAGAAGTCTTTTTCCTACTGTTGGCCTGTCTGTCTTTTCGCCGATTCCTTCATTATGATACCCCGCGATACCCCGCATCCGTTCCTGCATCCTGCTGTATGCATACCCTGGAGTCACCACAGTCAGGCTCTATCCGCACGGTGGAAGAACATTTCCATGTGACGGCCCCATGTGTACCGTCTCTGCTGGACAAGGACGGACAAAGCTTTCCGCTTGCATCACAGCACTTCCCATCTCGTTGCGTAATATCTCTATCCACTCATGATACATCATCACCCCGGCGTCCTTGGAGCTTCCTTACGAATCTAGGCTACTACCGAGTCCTCATGTCTTTACGATGTCAACGCCGGGCTCTACACACCCATCATCACCCATTACATGGCAATCTCATTTGTCTGTTTCCAAGGTTATGGCTATGTTTTTTTCTGGCAGATCTATGGCCCTTTGTTTGCTATCTCTCTGACTGATGTTTCTTCGGATATCTATGGCATGTACTGTTTGTTTCGTCGGCTCAGGTTTGCATATCACCACTCTGATTTTTTTAATATATGGTTTTGGACAGTGAGGTTACATCATTAGCATGGATCGGCGTGTTCGATTTATGGCGTTTGTGGTATCTGACGCTGATGTTACTGGGGAAGACGAGGTTCTGCGTCATTATGGGCTGTTTGGGAATGTTTGTTCACTTGCGTTCTGTTTTCGTTAGGCACCAGTTGTTTTAGTTTTAGTTTCAATTTCATGACATGACAAAACTTCTTCGACATGTGCTTTGTGTTGTTGTCGCCTAGTATGAGGCTCTCTAGCGCTGCAGGCAGCCACGCCCTTGTTGGTCTTGGTGTGTGTGTCCTCCAGCTAAGCGTCATAAAGGGCAACCAACATGACGCCTCGATAAAGTTCCCTGCTATCTGAAAAGGGTTCACCGCGATAAACAACCGGGGAACCGGTTTCAGGCAACCCATGTCTCGAAATCCCGGAAAGGCTGAGACTTTTTAAAGTTTAGGCAAGTCCCTCTACGAGAACGCGATTTCTTCAAATCGCCCATAGGCAATCACGCCAGATTTCAACAACTGCACATTTTGAATCATTGGTCCCTGCGATTTTGTTTGGAAAAAAAAAGAGATGAAAATTCAAGGTCTTGATGTCATAGATTATGAAAGTGAGGCAGAGGAAATGGGGGTTTCGGAGGTTTATGCCGCCCCGAGTAGACTAAGAACCCTTCTTTTTGTGCCCTCTTACATAGTTTTATCGGAGGTGACGATGTGGCCTTGAATTTTTTTGGTTCCCACGGGATTGAGGTAGACGAGTGGGGGCAGTGCACAAAAGGCTAGGTACCTGTTTTTGTGTATATGTGTGTGTGTGTGTCTCGGACGGAATATGGGGATGCCTTGGGCTTGGCCTTGGGGGGGGGGGGGAATGTGGAGGAAGGAAGGAAGGACTATCATGGAAGTCTCACGCCAGGAATGGAGTTACAGAGGAACCTAAATGCGTGATAACGAGTGGCGAATATTCTCGCACTTCGATATACACGCAGGCTGCGACTAGTGGCAGGTGGCAGAGCTCATGTCTCGCCCTCCCCCTCACCAAACCACTTCTCCCAGCACCATCGTCTCCCTACCCAACCCCTTTGCCGAGACAAGCGTTCCCCCACCTCCCTCTCCCCCTCCAAAAAATAGCGTTTACGTACACCACTTCTGTACGAACAACCCGCGCCGATCGATTCCCAAGGGCGTTTTGAAGGGAACCCGGTCTGCAGACCCGCAGCCAATCAGGTGGAAAGTGGTGTTGGAAGCACGGAAACTGGGGTGACGCACGGTGAGAAAAGCGGGTGCGGTGTTACGAGTGGCGGGGGGGTTATGCAGGTAGCCGTGTATGCGAGGATGAGGGGATGGAGATGTTGGTTGTTGTGGGAGGGTGTGGGATGAAAGTAAAGTGATTTGGATGGTATGTAAATTTACGGGGCTGTATCTAGATATACCCAAAAGTAAGATGACACGGTTAGAGCTGTAGTAGATATGAAGACTATGCTAGAATTCATTCATATCTACGACCTCTCTCGCTCTTTACATGCTAGTAGCATTCTAACAATACGTTGACAACACTTTCTACGTTAAAACAAGAAGAGTTGACATCACAACTATATCTCTCCATACATACAAAGAAATCACGTATTGGCTATACCAAACTAAAACCTCTCTCACTCTCATTCTCCCGCTATTCTACAAACACCCTCTTACACAACCTACTACCCCCTCCACAGACCCCCGTCACTGCCGCCGTCGCCGTCGCGCCACGAGACGCGCCAGAAAGGGGGTGCAGGATGCGTAACACAATACGAAAAAAAATCGGCATCTGACAATCGCTGTAGTAGTAGTAGTGAAAGTAAAGGTGGGTGGGGTTATGCCGATTACTTGCTTGGAAACTCTCTTGTGTCGGCATTCTCTCTGTACAACAGTCGCACATTCAAGGGCGATCGACAGAAACAGGGTCCTAGATCTAGGATCGTTGCGGGGGGGGGGGGGGTGACAAAGGGAGAGGGAGAGACATGTCTCGGTTGTGACGGCAAGCGTTGTGTGGCTTTCTTTTTGTTTTTGGCTAACTAGAGATGGGTTGTGATGGTTACGTTGTGGGTGTTGCATGGGATGCGGGAGTATGTATGTATATATGCGGGTGTGTGGACTATTTTTCTTGGTGACTGCCAGAATAATACTGTGGGTGATATTGATGGAGGTTAGATTCGGTAATAATAGTTTTTGGGGTAGTAAAAGAAGGAAAAGAGAGGTGTGATTGTATGTAGGATTGAAGCCCCGCCTTCTTACATCCCCCCTCCCCCTCCCCCTCCTACACCCCCCACTCACACAAAAGAAAAAAGAGGGTGCCTCAAGGAAAAAGCAGTCATATGGCCTTTGAACTGCGCGCTGTTTCTCCACCTGTCGTGGCGCACTTGGTCACAGCCCATCCTTTGAAAGGTTTGCAAGCATCTAGGTGCACCAAGCTGGCCTACTGTATCTATAGGTGTAAGTGTCCTTTCCATGCTGCCTCTGTTGCATGCAATCCTGGTTCCACGTCCGTCGTTAGCCATTTCAGTTCAGTTCCCATGCCCCCATTTTCGGCCCATGTGGTGTCTCATGCCCCGTGCCCTGGCATGCATGTCGTCTTGTCAATGTAACCTGTCACGGCTGCTGAGCAGTTGCATGATGCGCATGGCGGGTCTCAACCGGTGGCGAATACGGTCTGCCAAGTCGAACAGAGTAGCAAGGGATAGCAGTGGGGTTCGTATGGCGGCTCGGCTATTCACATGCTATAGGATTGCTGGTCAGGCTGCATGAACCCTTAAGTTTATTGATTCGACGATCCTGTTTACGCTTTCGGAGTGATGCTTTGATCTTGGGGCTGCAATGTTTGAGGGCTGTCGTTATCATCGCTAAATCCTAGATTTTTGAAAGAATCGGGTGCCATGAGGTTCCTGTTACCACAACAGATGTGAGCCAAGTCCTTTTTATATAAATGCCTAGTATAGCGCAAGAGTATAGTTGTAGAGCCGGCGGGGCAGTCTACGTACCGGTCCATGCGACAAGAGAGGTATGACTTGGAAAGGTTGCGGCATTCGGGATCGTTGCTTCCCCGGTGGGATTTGATGCATCGTAGATATGACATCATGATGCTTTTGCATTCTCCTAAGCAGATTGTCAGCGGCTGAAGTCGGATACGCAGATAATAGACATGATAGAGGAAGCGAGCCCGAAAAACAAGAGACAAGTCCTGACAAAACGTACCGTCATGATCAAGAGGAAATGAGCCACGTTCAGGTCTATATTTTTGATCAGTCAAAGACCTATTTGAGAAAACCATATAATGGCATAATGTCCTGCTGGCTTCTTTGCTGCTGTAATGTGCGACGGGCGCATTGAGGCGCACTTACGGGTTTGGCTTCTGGACCTTTTGTCCCAAACCCGCTCCACCGAGATTACTCATAGTAGCGACGTGTTTGTTTAGCGCAATGGATTAACCAGATGTAGAATGTATCCGGTACACTACGAAGACACAGGAACGGCGCAAATAGATGTGTACTTTGTGGTGGAGTGAGCTTTGGATAAACTTAGCGCAATTGACTGGTCGCTGGCCTGTGCGCTGCGACGCTTGCAACCTCGGGATGACGTGCATTGCGCATTCGGGCCGCATGAAAGGTCGACACTCTAAATCAGCCTCTACACTGTTCATATTACTAATTCTTAAAAGTTGGATTTGGCATTTCACATTCGTGATGATATGATTCATATGGCATAGGTTCCAAAGTATACAATATCTAACATGCTTACAATGGGCTATGTATTCCAACACCCATTTGGTGATTAGACATAACATATAACTAGCGTAAAGAAACGGGTATCACTTTGATCAAGAATAACCCCATCTTACCAATGCCGTGTGATAACCAACCACCCTCTCTCTTTTACAGCATTAAACAGTGCCGCTACCCTTTTCCGTTTGATCCCTTCTCTGGCTGACACGTCCTCAATCGCATGCTTGCCATCCAAATGTCTCAAGAGCATTGGCCAGCTTTCTCTTAGCTCTTTTCCCGTTATGCCACCAAATCCACCATCGGTATTCTTTGGAGGGCTTGGATTTGCAGACTCAACTCCAGTTTCTTCAAAAGTCTGCGCAATCTTGTCCAGCCATCGGGCCTCGAGCGAAGATGCCTTTTGAGGCGAGAGAATAGTAGTATGGGTGAAGGATGAGGGATCCATGGGTGGCAGTTTCTCTAGGGGAGATGTCGGGGAGACGATGGAATTACGAGATGGAGAGGGAGAAGTAGGCTTCAAGTGCAGTGGCGAGGGTCGATGCGGCCTGACTTCTCGAAGACCAATGTGTGATGGTGATTCGGCTCGTTGAGCTGGATTGAGCGCAATTGTTGTTCGTTGACTAGTCGTGCTTCCGGCGTCTGAGCCTGTCCGCGCAGAAGAGCTGCGTGTCATTGCTGTGGACGAAA